TACTGGTGTGTCTCTTCATGAGCAGTTGGCATGAAGTAGGTGGCTCTGGTCTATCCTTGACTTCTCCTCCAGGAGTTCTCACTGGCACTGTCACTATGCTTGTGGTCTCTAAATGTTTACATGACCAGGATCAATACTTAAGTAAGTCTAGAAGGATATGAGGGTGATACTAACAGGTATCAGCATTCAGGATGGAGGCCCAGTGAGAGTAAGATAAACAGATTCTTTCAATTTAATGACAGAAGTACTGTATGATCCTGCAATTCCATTTATGCTTATATGTCCAAAAAAATTGAAGGCAGGCACTTTAACAGATATTGGTGCAGTCATGTTCATAGCAGCTTTATTCACAAAAGCTAATACCCACCCTCCAAGCCAAAGCTAGTAGTTTTGCCCTTTCCTAATTCTCATCCTCTCTTATCCTGCTCTTATACATTACTCCTTCAATCAACAACAATCCATCTCAGTTCTTATGACATCTTCTGTCCAGCCCCTCATGGCTCAATCTAGTTTTTCTCCAAAGAATCAAGACTCTTGATTCTTCCCTCTGTTATGCTCTTGGAAATGTCCTTATCTACAACCCTTACCTTTCTTTTAAATTCTCTAGTTCCTTCTGTTTTTGCCTGCAGCTTATCATTTTTCTCTTCCTCAAACATGTGAGAAGGAAAACCAGACTTCCTCTGAGACCTCTGATGGTTAAGAAATGGGTGGGGGGTGGCTTGATGTGTTTTGGAGTCATCATTGGTGGGTCTATAGTTTGGGCTTCCTTACTCTCCTATGACAGTTCCTGTCTGGATCAATGGAGGATGGAAGTGATGTCCCCATAGTAGATAGAGAGGCTGGTGTGTGCATGTGTGTGTGTAGGGAGGGGACACAAAATGTGTGTGTGTGTGTGTGTGTGTGTGTGTGTGTTGGAGAGACAGCAGTCCCCCACTCCAGCTGTATCTCAATGAGGTCATGCACATGGCACAGCTTGTGGTTACAAGAGAGAGGGAGCCCAGCTAGGGCTCTGGGCATGACACCTTCCTACTTAGAAGGTGAGGAAGGAAGGGAAATGGGAGAATTCCAGCACAGCAATTTTACTCTCCAACATGTGGATGAGAACACACCTGGCACAGCAGGGGACAGTAAGATAGGGCCCCAGATCCCAGCTAGGGTGGGACGTCCAGGCTAGTCTGTTGCTTGGTACTAACCCTCATCTGTTCTTGCCTTGGCATTGGGCCCACTAACCTGAAGTTTTTACTCTACCATCTGCCCTCTACATCTTCCCCCTTTCCCCCTTTCTTCTTGTCTGACCATTTTTTTTTTTTTTTTTGGTGGTGGTGGTGCTGGAGATTGAACCAAGTCTTGCATATACTAAGTCTACTACTGAGCTATATGTCCAGCCTTGCAGTTTGATTTTTTGTGCATAGAGCAAAACCAAGACTCTTGTACTTAATGGAAGGAAGCACACTGTAGGCTAATTTAAGGGGGAAAGCTATGAAAACCTGTATATTTGATCCATTTAAGGTACACTGAGCATCTATTATGAGCAAAGCATTACCCCAGGTTCTGGGAATGTGTGGTTCCTATCTCTGTCAGGGGAAAATATGTCATATGTACCGACCACTCTAGAGTACAGAAATTATATAGCTAAAATGTATTGACTATTTCTCTTAGCAGGTTTTTTTCCCTGTTTTATTTTTTAATTAAAAAAAAATTTGACATGGGGTCTTGCTACATTGTCCAGTCTGGTCTCCAACTTCTGCGTTCAAGAACCTACAGAATAGTTGGACTACAGCTAACTACTTTAAATGGAATAATTTCTACAACCCTCTCAACATATAACCCTCTCTATTTGGTATGAATTATTTTTATCTCTCTTTTGCAAATAAGGAAACCAAGGCCCCGGGCGCAGGATCACATAGTGACTAAGTAGTTGAGTCATGATTTAAACCCAGTATAATTCATACTTCCTGTTATGTAGAGATTCTGTTCCTCTAGAGAACCCTGACTAATATATCCAGTTACCTGGCTATGGTGTCAGCTACACTGAGTCACCACACTATTGCTTCTCTGGTGGTGATCTGTTGTAACTACTGAAAACAGCGGAGTGAAGCTGGGTGCCTTTGCATTCACCTATAGTCCCAGTTATTCTGGAGGCTGATGCAAGAGGACTGCTTAAGCCCATGTGTTCAGGGCTGCTGTGTCCTATGCTAATCAAGTGTCTGCACTATATTTAGCATCAATATGGTGACCTTCCAGGAGTGGGGGGCCACTAGGTTGCATGTGCTCATCAAGTGGGATCAAGCCTGTGATCAGCCAGTGCACCCAGCCTGGGCAATACAGTGAGACCCTTGGAAGGGAAGGGATGTGGAAGGGAGGGGAGGGGAGGAGAAGAGGAAGGGGGGAAGGGGAAAGGGAAAGAAAAGAAGCAGAATGATTTTAATCCCAGGTAATTCAAAGATAAATGAATTTTTTAGACAGTATTTTCTCCTTTTTTTTTTTTTTTTTTTTTACCATTACTTAAAAGATGTCTGACTTAAAACATATCAACTGGAATTTTAGGGTCACTCTCAGGATCAGAGGTTGGCTCTGGCTTGGCCATGTCTCCACCTTGACTTTGGTCAACCCTGGAGTATGGCCTGAGTGTGGGCTTCAGTGTCACACAGATGCGGGCTTGAATCCTAGTTCTCCATTTGCCAGTGCTGTGACTTTGGGGATTCACTTGCCTGCTCTAAGTGCCAGTTTTTCTTCTGTAAAACAGGGATAGTGACACCTGACTCATTATCATTGGGAAGGTTAACTACTATCAAGTAGCAACATTTCCTTATCATGTTGAGCTCTGGCTTTCTTTTCCGGCAAATGATCACATTCATGCTCTTTGAGCCTCTAGTACCTCAGGGTGTTACTAGGGGACATCAGTTCTTCACGGTCGCATGGGGACAGTTGAAATGGTATCTAGTGCTATAACAGGGTAAACAGTGCTGGACAGGAGTGAGTCACCTGGCATTGTCCAGGGACCTTTGGAGGCAGGCACAGACATCTGAGAGGCTGAGGTGGGCAGAGGGAGTGAAACTCCCAGACTAAACATTTGAAAAACAAGCCTCTACCTCAGAGCAAAGCCTGTCCAAGGAAGGGACATGACCTTTGTCCTTGAAAAGACCCACAGAGCACATTCCCACCCTGCTAAGTTGTTTATCTACAAATAACAGGAGAGATCTACTGCGCCAGGTGTCCCTGACTCAGTCAGGCTAGGTGGGGACCCATAGCAACCCCCTAGCAGCCACCAACCAGCATGAGACAAGGAAATACCTGGGATGCCAGATGACCCTCCCAGTAGTTTATGGTGGTTGATAACGTGTTGGGAAACCATGTAGTTCAGCAGGAACACCCCTCTTGGCTTAAACCAATCAGTTCAAATGAATACCCCTTTTGTAGTAACCAATCACCCCACCCAACTTGTTCCTGCCAGTGAATGTGCTAATCATGTTTTAGAGGTGTTATTTGATTTTCCCGCGGTGTGTGATGATTTGCTAAGAGATGCTATGATGTATGTGCGGGTCCCTGCCTTCTCCAAAGAATGTATAAAACTGCTGCAAACCCTGGGCTCGGGGCCTCTCAGCGTCACCAGTTGCTGTGTGTGCGTGCAGAGGACCGAGCTAGCTCGCAATAAATACCTCTTTGCTGTTTACATCGATCTTGGTCTCTGGTGGTCTTTTGGGGGTCCCGAATTAGAGCATAACACATTCATCCTGCCCGCAGCAGCCCTAGGACCCGCACCACTGTCAGGTTCCTATAGATGTGCATAGGGACAAGGCAGCTGTCCTGGGCTGGGATTCCTGGAGACTTGTGTCATTCCTGTGTGGTTCTGGCTGAGGATTAAAGGGCGTGGCCTGGTGCCAGAGGCCTTGGTCCAATAGGTGGAGCTGTGTTAGGCCCTGCAGGCCACACATGGCTTCTTGCAGCAGAGTTGAAAGGGTTTCCTGGGTAGATTTCAGTGAATCTCAGTTGCATGACTGCCTGAAGCCTGAACTCCATTCACCTGTTACTTGTGAACTGGAAAGCACGCCATTATAGACAAGGGAAATTCTCGGCACTAGAAGGCACTGACGGTGCTGGTACCAGAGTCTTCTGGAGAGGCTCCATCACCTCCCCTTATAGCTTCCCAGGTTCATCACCTGCTCTGCCATGGTGTCTCTCTCCTAGCCCCCACCTCCTGCCTTGGGGGACAGAATGATTTCCAGGGAGGCGGAGGTGAGTAGGGAGGACTGGTTGTAATGAAGCCTGTGAAGGAGCCAGAACAATTAGTAGTTGTTGGGGAATAAACCTATAAGCCAAGAGAGCGGATTGTTTGATAAAATTGGAGAGAGACGTGTGTCAATCATTTTTCTCCAAAGGACAGTTCAGGGGTTTGTGAGTTAAGCAATCTGTCCTGATGTTAGTAATAGTGTGTTTCATGAGTGCCAGGTCAGAGAGGGAAGGAGTCCTGGAACAGATCACAATTTTGGCCTGGACAGTGGGATAGGAAGCCAAGGTGGAGATGGGGACCAGGTAGCATGCGGGGCTCAGAACTGCTTCAGCTTCTTCACCCCCAGCAACGAGTGCATCTTCCCTTTTTACTGCCTTTGGGAGAAACCCACCTTAAACTTGACTTTTACAGTATCTCCCCTTATTGATTGTAGGTTGAAGGAGACACATTTGCTTTGAATTTTTCAGGGTGAGTACTGAAGGGGAAATTATAAAAAGAATACTGTGGGCAACATGAAAGGAAAATGAACCCAGAAGGAAAAACTGTTACATTGAGGCCTGTGCCCCACTCCTCATGGTTCTTGTGTGAAGATTAAGAGCAATGGTGGAGCTTCCTGATGAGTCCAAGGCTGCAGGGTGAGTCCCAAGAAGTCCATGGGGTAGCTGGACCTTTGGAGTCATCCCAGGCTCAGGGATGTGGAACCCTGGGACAGCCCTTCTAAAATCCTACAGGAACAAGGGGGACACAAAAGCACAGAAGGCACAAGTCCTGACTTCCTGGGTCATCAGTTTTATCTCATGGCAACTAATTTAAAATTGTGTGTACACTAAAAGAAACACAAACATAGAGCACATCACAAATTTCACATTCACTTTTTTAAAATAAGGCAGTTTTAAAAAATAATTACAGGCTACATTGCCCTTCCAGACCATCCCTCCCAAACCCAGCTCCCACTTGTTCTCATCTAGGGTTAGGGCTATTTCAGGGGGAAAGATTGAGATTCACTGCCCTAGGGTGAGACTCAAATGCCCTGTGTCTTAAAAAACGAAAAGAAAAAAAAAAAAGGGAAAAGAAAAAAATCGACAAGCGCTCCCAATGAAGAAAGATGGTTTATAAACTTTTACAGCTACACACAAAACCTCCTGCTAAATGGGTGCTGCAAGTATGTAGTCAGCAAAAGGCCAGAGGGGCACTTAGTCAAGGCAAAACCAAGAATCACAACCTACAAGTGTGCCAGGGAGGTGAACATGCTCAGGAATACAAAGAACCTACCCCTTTCCAAGGCAGCCAGTGCTTTAGAAGTTAACATTTGACTTCAAGGTCATTCATCAAGGCTGGGCAGAGCTGAGAACATGAATGCCCTGCTCCTCCCAGTGCTGTCTGCTTGTAAACTACAGTCAGTCATCCGTCCATTCTAATTTCAGGCTTAGGGCCTGCATCCTAATTTCTACTATGTAGGGTTCCCTTACATACTCAGATAGGCCACAACCAGATACTTCCTCAACCTTCCAGACTCAGCAGCAGAGTAGAGGATGACCAGGAGTACACTGCAAGGCCTCTCAAACCCACCTGCCAAAGCCCCATGTCCAGGTGAGCAATCTCCAGGGGTCTGGGAGACACCTACCTTCAGCATAAATATTTCTCCAGGTTTCCTGTTTTAATCTATAATCGATGTGCACTTGATATTTCACAGCTGTGTGCTGGAACGAAACGTTTCTGTCCCTCTGCATGAAGTTGGTTCTTCAGAGCCATTGTTGCAGCAGCCCGTGAGAGCACAGCCTTACTCTGTGTGCCATGGCAGGGGCAAGCACCCTCCAGTCTACTCTCTTAGGTAATGCTCCCGCCTTTCCTGTGAGATGGAGGCTGGCTTCCCACACCAGATGGAAGAAGCAGGCTCTCAGAGGGAAAGTGATTTGCCCGAGTTTGTGGGGAACTGGGGGTAGGGGGCTGGGGAAGCAGCTCCCTCCTCATGTTCTTCCACTCCTCACCACAAGCTCCTACTATAATCCCTCCACCCCTTCAAACATAAAAATCAATAGTCCCAGCCGGGTGCAATGTGGTGCATGCCTGTAATCCCAGCAACTCAGAAGACTGAGGCAGGAGGATCATGAGTTCAAAGCTAGCCTCAACAACTTACTGAGGCACTCAGCAACTCAGTGATACCCCGTCTCTAAATAAATATAAAAATGGGGGCCGGCATTGTGGCTCAGTAGTAGAGCACTTGCCTAGCATGCATGAGGCACTGGGTTTGATCCCTGGCACCACATAAAAATAAAATAAAGGTATTGTATCCATCTACAACAACAACAAAAATTTTATATATATATATATATATGTGGGGCTGGGAATGTGGCTCAGTGATTAATCATCTCTGGTTTCAATCCCCAGTACCAAAACAAACAAACAAAAAAACCCAACAGCCCCCTTGGGCAGCACTCAAATGAAGGCCAAGTGCTTCCCCAACACCCTCATAAGCAGTCTGCAGTTGAGCACTCTGGTGGGGCAGCCCACAGCAGGCAAGTAGTCCCAGAATCTAAGTGTTAGCTCTAGGCAACTCTATCTGTGGCAGAATGGGATAGGCAAAACCAGGAAATCTGGCTTTGCCTATAATTGGCTGTGACATAGGAAGTTCTTTTCACTTTCTGGGCTTTGGTATCTCCATCTAGACAATGAATAGGGGATTAGGTGATTTCTATGCTTTGGGTACATTAGAGCTTTCCACTCCAAGATTCTAGATTGCTACCCCCAGGACCCTCTTGTGCCCCTTCCCTTTTCTGAAAGAAAAAAAAAGTTCAATACTGCTCATTTCCCCCTTTAAAAAATAAAATCCAAATCAACATTGTAAGGTGCTAGCTTTTCAGACGAGGCAGCTGCAGTCTCCATCACCCTCTGTTCATTTCCTTCTTCCTGTGACATACTGGTTGAGAGAAGCAGAGGCCACTAGGGACCTAGAGCTGGTGGACCCAAGAGGCCTCTGACACATCGTGATAACTGGTTCAAATCAGACCCAACCTGAGGGTTTCGCTCATCAAAGGCCCCATTCAGCACTAGCAGGCATTCAGCATTCAGTGTTTCATGTCTGAGTCACCTAGGAAAATGGTTTGAGGCACCACTCAACCATTCCAAAGAGCAATATTGGAATTAAGGGCTGCCTGCTTGCTGGAGGTCCTGATATCATACCTTTCTGCAGGTGGGGGTACCTGGGGGAAGCAGCCAAAGAATTCTACCCCAATGACTCCATAGGGATCCCTATGGTAGGAGAGGCCTCAGGTCAGGAAGCAGAACTAGGCTAGAATACTGGCTCCATGGGAAGCCACTTAGCCTTCTCTGGGCCAGATTTCTCCATTGTGCCACCTCTGCAGGCTGTAACAACAAGTTAAGCACTCTGCACAGTGCCCAGGGTACTGGCATTACTCGGCAAATGCTTTACCCTGACGGGGTTCTCTTCAAGGCTAGGCAGCTGGGGTGGGGTTGAGATGCAGATGTGCTCTAGGTCCCACCTGTGGCAGAGTTATGCACCTGCATAGCCTGGGGTTCCCCCACATCCTTGGTCAGAGCTGATGGCAGGAGAGTCCCCTTTTCAAACTTATAACTCTGGGCTTCAGTTTCCTCATATTTAAAATACAAGTTCATAAAATGATAATCAAGGACTGCCTGGAATTCCCTTGTAGTCTTTCCCAGACAGCGAGGCCTGTGGAGTGTGAATGAGAACGAAACAGGCACAGGGAGGGGAGGTGTAAGGGGGCTGTTTCTCTTTCCTTGGGTTGGTCAAAATCAGAGGCCCATAAGATGCTGGGGCCAGAAGGCACCAAAGGCCACAGCATGGAAAACAACTTTCCAGAGCTAACAGGCCAAGGAGCACATACTGAGTTTGCAGCAGTTTGGGATGAAACCCAGATCTCCAGACAGGTTTAAGGAATATCTTAAAAGTTTCAGAAAATATAGTACTTAGTTCTGGTTTGAGCCAGCTCACTGGTTTCTCTTCTTTGAAGCTTATGATTCATAAGCTAGATAATCTATCATGACAATCTAGTTTATGATTCAGAAATACTATGGTTGTAAATTCCTGCCTTTTGAATTCATGATTTAGCTCTAGTACTGCTGGGAGGGCTGGGGTCAGTGACACTCAGGCCTGTGGGGACTGGGTCACACCATCCTGTAGGTAGTGGGGAGAAAAGGAGCTGGGTGTCCTTTTGCCTTCAATGGTAACAGCTGCCCTGGAGGGTCAGTAGGGAAGGGGCAGGTAAGGCCTTGGGGACAGGGCTTTCAAGGCCCACCAGCCCATGTGGCCTCAGCCTCAGGGTGAAGAGGGTGAAGAGAGAACACTGGGTGGTAGCAGAGGCCCCGTGAGAGGCTCAGTTGGTTTCGTTGATGGGAGTCCGGTTGCCATCTAGCAGTCTTTCACGCTCGGCTTCCGGGGCAGGGCGCCAGCCCCTGGACAGGCAGGCCAGCAGTGGGCGGTGCAGCCCATTGTAGAGGGCAGTGCCTGTCAAGAGGATGAGGAAGCCAAGGATCTGCAGAGGGTGGAAGGTTTCCCATCCCAGGGCCAGGCTCAAGGCCCAGATAACCACGGTGCGCAAGCTGTCCAGCACCATGCGGGTGGTGGCACTCAATTCTTTAGTTACACTGATGCCTGCGAAGTTGAAGAAGGCAATGCTGCTGATGTTGCCCAGCAGAGCCAGGGCGATTAACGGTTGTTTGCCCAGCTGGCAGAAGGCATCCAGGGCATCCTCTAGTGTCCCCTTGGGGTTTCCACTGAAGGAGCCGGCAGGGATGTAGTACATGGGCACCAGGAGCAGGGAGAGGATCACAAAACCGAAGAGGCCTGAAGGGGTGAGGACGCACGTCACAAACTCTGCCTTGCCCACCGCCTCCCAGTTTAGCCCACATGCACTGCCTTTTGGCTCCTGTTGCCCATTCCTGGGATCTGTCCCTTTATCTCTCTTCAGGAACTTTGGGCCTATGCAGTGAGCTCTGGCTGCCCCCTCTCTACCTTAGTCCATTGGCATCTCATGGGACTGAGAGTGAAATACATCTTGTATTGTGATCTGGGATACATGTGCACAGGCACGCATGGGTGCACTCCCTAAACAACAGCTTTGCTATATACAATGCTCTCTGACATTTAAATTCTATTCTATTCATTTAAGAAAGAGCTGCGGGTTCCAATTCACTACACTGTTTTCACAAGTTTGAAAATACAGAGCTCCCTAATTTAGCATGTGATTGGTCTGTAGTAAAGAATTTGTGCCAGAATGTAAGCACTGCTTCATTCATAAAATCTTGCTAGAAAATAAACTGAGTGGAAACAAACAGTATACTTTGTGATGCAGCTGATCTACATTCTGCCATCAGATCCTCTGGCTCTCACTGGGCCAGATGCAAATAACCTGATAGGTACCTGTCCATGGGCTACTCTGACAGCACAGCTCTCATCCATCTTGCTAATCTTGTATTTTTACAGCATAATTTTGGTAGTTGTCTTCCTGGCTCAAAAATCTTTGGTGGTTCCTCTTACCTGTCATTTAGTTGCCTGACATGACATGACCCTGACTTACTTAATTCCCGATTATCCCCAACCTATATTGGGGAAACCTATATTGCACTCAAATCCAGCTCCCAGCCCTTTGCCCTGTCTGGAGTTCTCAGCTCCTGCCTGTTGGAATCTGAGGCTCAAAAGCCACCTTCCCTGTCCCGAGAATCTTAGCCTTGCTCAGAGATTGAGACATCACTGAAGCATCAGTGGGCCAAGCTCAGGCACGCTGAGGTCCCTTTTTTCCTGGTGGTCAGCTCCTCTAGGGAGGGCCTGCATCTTACTCATCTTTGTCCTTGACCTCCCCTTGCCTGACACAGCAGGTGTCAGAGGATCTGTCATCTCACATCTGGTGAGGGAGGAAGGTATGAGAGCAGGAGGCTCATCCCTTCAGTGGTCAACAGCACCTGCCCTGTGATCCACTTGTGCAGTTCATGCCCCATGCTGTCCCCCACCGTGTCCTCCCTTCCAGCCACTCCTCCCAGGCCTGTGCCCACACGCACCCTCAGTGCCCACTGCCCGGAGTGGGTGCACATTGTGCTTGTAGACAAACTTCTCCTCTAGCACCATCTGGATGGCAACGATGACCTGGGCCATGATGATCAACAGGTCCCCTGTTGAAAGAAAGCCAGGTGAAACCAGGGCTGCTCCGGGGCTGGGTCTGGAGGTGATGACAGAAGGGCCCCAAGGACATGACGTGCTAGCTCCTGACTTTGCAAGCCCAATATAGTTCACTAGGCTTAGTCATAACGACCTGTGCTTGATTCCCTGGCCCCTGATGGGCAGGATAGGCCAGCCAAGCAGGGCTGAGACTCCAGAAAGCCCAGAGACCTACCTGAGAGCTGCATCCCAGCAAAGCAGGTCTCTTATGGAGCAACAGGTTTGAGACAGCTGTTTTTGGCTTAATCCTGACTCTGAGTGACCCAGAGCAGACACTTCACTATAAAATGGGCTGTGATGGCTTGCTCTGGAGATGTGGCAGGGCTCCTGTGATGCGGATGGCACAGAGCTCAGTGTCGTGCTGGGCATGTGTAAGTGCTCAGTGAGAGGTCTCTGTTCCTGTCCCCGTCCAGCAGTTTGTGATTATGCATCACAGAACAGGACAGCCCCTTCCTTGGGTCTCTTGCTCCTCTTGTGTTACTTGCCACTCTTCCTTAGTGAATTATACCCTAATCCGGTCTCCTCCACACTGTCTGATCCCTTGAGAGCAGCTGTGTGCCCTTATCCAGTTCCTGCATATGGCAGAGCTTGTATAAGTCTGAGGGACAACCATGTTGGGCTCCCTGGGGAAGGTATGATAGGACAGAGGACCCCTATTACCCCAAGGCCATACCTGTGATCACTTCGCTGAGCTTGTGCTGATTGTCTTGCTTGCTCAGAAGGTCAGCCAGGCCCACTACCACCAGTCCAGCGATGGTGGCCAGGATGCCCAGCCACTGGCTTGGCACCAGCCTTCGGCCCAGAAAGGCCACTGAGAACAGGCCTGTGAATATGATCACTGCACCCCGCAGCATCTGGAAGCTAGAGGCACTGGTCATGTTCAGGGCTAGACAAGGAGAGACAAGACTATTAGCTCCTGAGGGCCAAGGCTGCCTGCCACTGAGGGGTTTTCAGGGTTGGAGAAAAGCTGAGCACATTGCAAGTGCTCAATAAATTTTGCTTTGTTTTGTGTGTGTGTGTGTGTAAACGCACATGTGTGTGCACATGCAAGTGCATGTGAAAAGTTTGTGGCAGAACAGCAGGGTGGGGTGGGCTGTTTGACCAGGGACCCCTTCAGACCACAGCCTTCACTGAGCCTTCTTGACCTGGCTACTCACCCACATACATGAGGCTGGTTCCTGTCATGTCACAGAGGGCTGGAGGCAGGAAAAGAAGGGGATTGAAGGGCTGCTGGGGATCCACACTGGAGACTGACTGCCCTGTGGCTCTGCACTGGAGCAGGTAGAAGGCAGCCAGGCAGGAGAACTCTCCCAAGAACATGCCCACTGCCTGCAGAGATGAGAACCCACAGACTTAGCACTGAAGGGAACTAGGGGACCACCAGTAGCAGTATTGTTTTTTATGTAATCTTTCTTCAAACAGGAGGTTACCCAGAACCCCAACCTGTCAAACCAATAAAAACAGCTGCTGTGGGGCTCTTAAAATACCCTAAGACTGTGGTAACCTGTGTGAAGATCATTCATCCAGGCCAACCCCTTGTGAAGTTCCAGGTGAAGAAACAGGCCCAGACAGGTTCAAAGACTGACGGAAGGCCACTAAGCAAACTGCTAACAGACTGGGGCTGAAATCTGAGTCTCCCAACCCCCAGTCCAATTTGGGGTATCTTTCAATAATGAGGTCTACCCTGACCCAGTGGTATTCTGGGCTTGGAAAACGGGCTTCTTTCCATGTGTTCTGACTGGACATGGTGAAGACTCATGTAGGCCTCCTATAGGACTGTGCCCTCTGCTTGCTTCCAGGGTTACCCTTAGATCCTGGCCCTGCTCTAAGGGAGGAAAAAGCAGGGGAGCTCCATCCCTAGGCCAAGAAACAGCCTAGCTTCAAGGGTGCTGGTCTGAGGCCTGGGAGATGGTGGGAGGGCCAGAGCCCGTACCTGGAGGAAGGGATGCTGGAAGCTGTGCTCTGCGGTTCCTCCGCAGCCCTCGGCTATGAAGTTGTCTGCCCACCTGCAGCAAAAAGGAAAGGTCAGACCCTGGCAGTTTGGCAGGACTCTCTGCCAGCCTGATGCCTGTGGAGGGCCTTGTTCCTCCCAGGGCCAGGATGTCCAGACTGAGAGCCTCAGCCTCAGGTGGAAGGGTTTGGAAGGGTTCCTTCCTTTTCTATTTCACGGAATAATTTGAGGAGTATTGGTATTAATTCTTCTTTGTAAGTCTTGTAGAACTCAGCTCTGAATCCGCCTGGTCCCGGGTTTTTCTTGGTTGGTAGGCTTCTGATGGCATCTTCTATTTCCTTGCTTGAAACTGATCTGTTTAAATTGTGTATGTCCTCTTGACTCAGTTTGGGTTGATCATATACCTCTAGAAATTTGTTGGTGTCTTCAAGGTTTTCTGTATTACTGGAGTATAAATTTTCAAACTAGTTTCTAATTGTCTTTTATATTTCAATAGTGCCTGTTGTGATATTTCCTTTTTCATCCCAAATTTTAGTAATTTGAGTTTCCTCTCTCCTTCTTTTTGTTAGGATAGCCAAGGGGTTTGTCAATTTTATTTGTTTTTTTCAAAGAACCAGCTTTTTGTTTTGTCAATTTTTTGAATGGAAATTTAATGTATTAAGGAACATATGTATTACTATATTGTGAATTTGCTTTTTAATGTTTGACAACTTTGTCAATGTAATTTGATCCTTGGTCTCTCATTTGCACATTTTAAAACATTATTATGAAGAGGTCTATAGGCTATACCAGGCTGTCAAGGGACTCACGGGACACAAAGCCTCTGGTCTCAAGGAATACTCCAGCCCTGGGAGATGACCACCAGATCATCACCAAAAAGCCTGAATGGCCTGAAATGTAGTCATAAAGCTGACCCCAAAGCAGGGGATACATGCATTGCAGTCATGGAGTGATGTCCCAGAGAGCACCGTGGTGGACAGGAGAACTGATCATAGCACTCTTCCCCACTGAGCCCAGAATCCTTCAAAGCATAGGCTTTGGGTAGCTACCATGGCCATTCTGAACTGTCTGCCATCTTTGTAAGAAAGCTCTCTCTCCTGAATTTCATTTTTGCTGGGTGGTTATCTAGTCTAATCTTTCATTAGAAAGCCTTTCAGATATCTGAAGAGTTTCCAACCTGAATCTCATGGCAAAACAGCCCCACTCCTTCTGAACCTTTTGCTCTGCTAGCTGCTAACTTCTGGAATGTATTGGCAGCCCAGGCCCAGAGCCAAACATGTGCTTTGGCCCAGTCAGAGACTGGCAAAAGTGCAACCCCTTCCTTGTGTTGGACATACTTGGTCCATTGGCACTGCTCAGCCCACACCAGGCAGATCACTTGCTGACTCCAGTCAACACAGACTTTGGAGCTGTTTCCTATGAGCCATGATCTTCTCTCACCAGAGCACCCCACATGCAGACAGCAGTCTCTAAGATGTAAGGCTAGGGACCGCCCTCCCTCCTGCAGTGTTGGGGATGTAACCCAGGGCCTCACTTGTGCTAGGCAAGTGCTCTAATACTGAACTATGCTCCCAGCCCTGGGAACTTCTTTCTGTTACATGCTTTTCCCTGAAATATACTTCTAGAGCTGCACATCATAGTGCACCCTACTCTTGGCTTACCTGTAACAAGTCTGAGATCCTGAAGGGAGGGGCAGCCTTTTGCTTCCTGTGCCTCCCCATAAAGTGCCATAGGGCCTGGGTTTGGCAAAGATCCTGCCCAGCAGCCCTGGTTTCTCTGTCCCTGGAGCATGATGCCTGGACCGTGGGGCATGACGCAATGGGGAGGCCACTGGATAGTGGTGCCTCCTGGTTAGGGAACACAGAGGAACTGTGGGCTGAAGGACAGACATCTGAGGGAATAACCACAGCTACTTAGAGATCTGAACACACTTCAGGATGAAGGAAGGAAACAGGACAGTAGCAAACCTCACCCAGTAGGAGACTCACCTGCTTCAGAAGGTGTAGAGAGAGAGGGGCAGTTAGGAGGGTTTGTGATTCTTGGGAACAGGGTTGGGGTGGTGGTTGAAGGAGAGATAAGGGGAGTGGGAAAATTCCGACATGACTGGTTAGAAGCAGAGAGAAGCCTGGAGCCCTACATATGCCAGGGGTCCAACTGTAACCAGTTCTAACACCACTGGGGCAAAGAAAGACCTCACTACAGAGCAGAAACCCCTTTTCTCTGGGAGTTTTCTTCTGCCTGATCTGCTACTGGTTCTGGGTCTTGGGTCCCCAGGCAGGACAGGACATGGCAGGTGAGTGGGGGCCACAGACAGACTATATGGCTTACCCAGATAGACCTGGGAAAGCCTGGGGGAGGCAACTGAGTGAAAGAGAGGAGAAAAGAAGAAGCACACCCAGGCTCAGTTTTACCAAGTGTGCAGAGCAGACTCCCTGAACAAGGGAACAAGCCAGAGAGGTGAACTGGTAGGGTTGGAGCCGGGGGTCCTCTAGTAGGGACAAGAGAGGTGCCACCAAGTCCATCAAGGCCAACCAGAAGCCTAGGGCAAAAATTTGGGGGCGGGATGAAAGCCACTTTCTCATCCTGGTGCCACCCAAAGAAGTTCCCCCAGAATAGCAATGGTGCCACCACCTAGAACTCAGCCTGTGCTACTGCCTATGCAGTTTCCAGTAACAACTCACATCCATAGAACATTCGGATTCCACATTCACTGTAGGCTGAGAGTGAGCTCAGTGCTTCCACATCTCTATTTTATTCATTTATTTTTATGTGGTGCTGAGGATCGAACCCAGGGCCTCACACATGCTAGGCGAGTGCTCTACCACTGAGCCACAACCCCAACCCCCTCTTCCACACCTCTAAAATCCCTGGTCCTGGCACACTATTATGCAGAAGTTTGACATTCGTGGTTTAATGAATGAGATTTCCAGGCCTTGCTGGCAGAAAGATCAAGTGCTGCAGCCCAGAGGCCATGTCCCTAATGAGTCCCACTTCCCACCAGAGCTGAGTGGAACAAGCTGGCCAGAGGGGGAAACCTCTTCTGGGGCCTGTCCTTTGTCAGGGGTTGGGTGCTTCATGGAATGCTGGCGGTGAGGCGCTAAGCTCCCTTCTCCCCACGGTTGTCTGGGCTTTCTCTGAAAGGTAGGTCTGCCTGGACAGGCTGGCCTGGCAGGGTTCCCAACAGGGAAATGGAATCACTTTGTATCCAAGAGCCCAGCAGCCCAAGGGATTGGGTGTCAGCAGCACAGGCTGCCCTGCCTTGTCTGTCTCTTCAGGACAGAGTAGGGACACTCAGGCCTGTGGGCACTTTAGGGCAGGAGTCAGGCTTTGGCTCATTGCTCAGGCTCAGAAGGACCCCAGGTCTCACAGATGAGAGCCCAAATTTAGCCTCAGTGTGTCTGGGGATGACAGCTGTGACTCCAAAGGTGGAAGAGCACTTTGCTGTTTGTTGATGTTCATAGATGTTTTGTTGGATGGGCCATGCACTGAAAACTGATTTTGTGCTGGGCCTGTGCCAAGCACCTCTTGTAGGCTATCCTGGTTAAGCTTCACAAGGATCCTCATTTTAAAGGGGGACTCCAAGGCTCAGGTGCAGAGAACAGTTCAGGCTCTTAGAGTTAACAGCCTGCAGAGCTGAGGTCAAACCCTGTTTGAACTCACACTCAGGAGAGGCAGCAGCTTACATAGAAGGCTGTCTTGACTTGCATAGGCTGGATAGGTTTCAGGGACAATCAGGAAACACTGATGAACGGGTAAGGCACTGAACAGCATAAGTTCTATAAGACCTCGCCCGGACAGGTATTCAGTACAGACCATTTTCTGTTTCTTCTCCCTCTTCACTCACTGAGCAGGAGCCCCCTCCCTTTGTGCTGGGGTCAGTGTGGATCCAGTTTTGCCCTGGCCTGAAAGCTTCTGGAAGAGTCCATGCTCTGGAACCTACCCTACGTTGAGGAAGTGGCAGCTGGAAGGGCCTAAGGCTACTGCCCCTGCAGCTCCACAGAGCCACAAAATGTATGGCTCTCACATGAGGAACTGAGGGCTAGAGAGGGCTTGAGGGTCACAGGGCTCATTATGTGCTGAGTCAGGGTAATACCCAGGAATGATGACACCAGGTCTATGGCCCATCCCCAAGCTTTGAAGTTCTCCTATGATCTTCTTACTTTAGACTCTTCCTGTTCCCCTGTTGGGGTGAGGAGAGGGTCAGCCCTGCAGATAGGTCTCTATTCTCTGAAGATGCTCTATTCTGGGGACAGGCTGAGGCCCCATGAGGAAGCACCCTCTGCTGGCAGAGGCTGGCTCCTTTTAGGGGGTTCCTGAATGTGATGGGCAGGCTAGGAAGTGGGCAACCCTTGCTGGTGGTGACTCAGTCCCTGGTGGGCCCTGACCACACTCATAGCTCAGTGCTTCGGGTCAGGGTGGCAGGCACAGACTGAGGAAGTGGCTGATGTGGTTGGCCCTGGTTGACTGACTATGTGTCCATTCCTGCAGAATCTCTGCCATTTCTTCCAGCATCCCCAGCTTGTCAAGCCCAGTGAGTCAGCGTCTTTGTCTTGCCAAGAGATTTACTGAAGGGAGATCTACAGAAGAACCAGGCCTTCTCCACCCTCTAGGGTATTCTGGAAGAAGGCCCTGGCTTAGGAGATGATAAATGACAATGAGCCCTCTCATTTCTATGGAAGAAAAACTTTCCTCAGTAGATCCTAGTGTCTGGAAAGGAGGCAGATCCGGAATTTTCATGTCCACTTTACAGATGAAGGGATCGAGAGGCCTCAAAGAGGCTGAATGACTCATCTTAATCCTACGGCTTCCAAGCCTCATGCTCATTCCACTATATACCCTGCCCTCCCAACTTGAGGCCTCCTCGAGCTCGCCCTGCAACTCTCTGAAGCAATTCTCCCAAGCCAGTTCATGAAGGGTGGGGTCTGGTACCAAGGGCAAAGTTGGAGCTGTCACAGAATTGACAATGATGCTGCTCTCTAATAGAGGCTGGTGTTACCAGGCAGGGTCCCTGGCCCAGAGATAGAGGAGTCTCAGACCCACATGCCCTCCCTGGCTAGGCATGCCCAGAGCCTGCAGAAGCTAAGGAAGGAGCTGCACCTCACTTAGTGTTTGCTTAGCCCTGGCTCTTCAGATGTGGATCCTAAGCCAGATTCAGGAGAACAGGGTTCTGAAATGGGTGTGATCTCAGACAGGCAGAACAGGGCTCTACATGGTATGGGATCAGGTAGACAGAAAGGGTTTGGTCTCAAGGAGATGATCAGCAGAAGGTGCTGATGAGAAAAGAGCCATAGAAGGAGAAGCAGCTACTTCCCAGAGAGAGGCCCTTTGCCAACACCCAGGGAGGGGCCAAAGGGCCCGCCTGACTGGTAGCTTTTCCTCCCAGAGCACGTGACATCTCCCAGCAGCCTTCCAAAACTTGCTGAGTGGGCAGAGGAGAGTGCCCTGTGGTAACAGCACAGCAGGTGGCACGTGCTCACTCAGGGAGGGAAGCACCCAAGCTCCTTTTTCAGGCTGAGACACTGCAAGGACTGCCTGAGGCTTTCTGTCTGGACCTTGAGTGTCCCCTGGCACCAGGGGCAAGGCAATCAGGATGTTGGCAGAGACTTGCTGCCCAGGCACAAGGGGAAGGCACCCTGAGGACTGGGAGGGAGATGTCACTTACAGGATTATACCTTCTTTGGATACAGGCTCATCTGTCCCTATCTCGGGAGATGAGAGAGGAAAGCTGAAGGGGTGGGACTTTTGAGCCACTTCAGTCCTAACAAATAGGACCAGACTAAAGTCCTGAGGCCTGGGTGACAGCTCCCATTCTGACACCAACCAGCCTGACTCACCACCTCACCAGCACCTTCTGCTGATCTTTGAAACCATTCTCTCTGAAATCTCTTGGGGTATCTCCTGTAAATTGTGGCGATCAGATCAGATGATTTCTAACATTCTAAACACTCTCTCCCCAAGAATGATGAGAGAAGTCCCCAGTCTCTGCACCGCCTCTACCCATAGGTGGTTAAAAGAATGGATTCTATAGCCACACTACTTTGACTCAAATATAAACCCTGCCACTTGGTAGATGAATTGAACTTGGCAAGTAATTTAATCTTTTTGTACCTCAGTTTACTTCATTGGGGATAATAAGTTTATCTACCTCATTGGGTGATTACAAGAATTCACTTAGTTCACATGAAAGGTGATGAGAGCAGGGCCTGGCACTTGGCAGGGCTGGGTACACTCTTTGTACTCGTTGGCTATGCTGACTATGATCTGCACCTGATGAAAATGTGATTTTGTATCAATAATTCACACCAGGGAGTACAAGCTGCTCTTCTTCCTCATTCTTTCTAAGAGCATCCGTCTCACAGTCTGGCCTTAAATACTATTTAAGTTCCAACTCTGGGGCCAGTTTCAGGGTAGAGACTCCTGAGAGGCCCCACACCAGGTTATAGGGCAGAGGCAAGACAAAAGGCTTCATCCTATAACAGACTTGGGAGACTCCTTCCTGTCTCTCAGGTAGCCTCCAAGGGTGAGGCCCCCTGGGACTGAGGATCTCCTGGGTCCCTACCTGACCAGTTTGGAGCTTTTAAAGAAGAAGCCAAGTCAGCATAATGGCCGTTTATACTCTCCATGGGGACAGCAGCCATGAAAGACTTATAGCAACTTTCTGAGCACTTGAGTGAGGCTTTGGATGGTCTAACAGCTGGATGGAAGTCTTGTTCTGTTATGTCAGCTACGGACAGGGGAGTCCTCAGGCTGGGGCCCTTTACACCTCAGAGGTGTAAACTCCAGGAGGTTGCAGTGCCCAGGAGGCCAGAAGTTTACCATAAGACAATAGTTGGTCAGAGATGAACTAGAGAGACAGAAGTGTGGCATCCTTCAGCAGAAGAGGGGGATACTGTACTGCCATGTGTCTCCTTCATCTCAGATTGTGAGCATTTCAAAGGCAGGGACCTTTTCTTGGCCTCTTTCCCTCCTACACTGTAGGTAACTTATACTCCTCTGACAGAAGTGAATACTGCTCTCCCAGGTTCTCTTCTGAAACACCTTGCGGCACTAATGAAGTATGTGAGATACAAATGTCTCAGCAATTATTAAGAAACAGTCATGCCCTCAGAAGGCTCACAGCCAGTTTCTCAAAGTGTAGAACCCAACAGAAAACCCAGAGGATTTGCAGCACATCTCAGAGGGCAGGAAAGCTTCCATTTGGAATTGCTACATTGATGCTCTTGGCTCTGGAGCCTGGCAGTGCCCAGGTGGAAGTGAGGTCTGACTGGGAGAGGACCACTGTCCACTGTTCTTCATGTACAGGGCATGATCCTGGCCAGGAACAGCTGAACTGAACTTGAATCAGTTCAAGAAAAGGCCAAGCCCCATGTTTTGGGGCTTTTAGATGGTGAACAGAAAGGAGAAGGAAGGCCCTGCCCTGTAGTGGGGCAGAGAAAGTGGCTACCATGGGAAGGAATGGCTTTTCTGCCCATGACAGAGAGGAAGCTATGCTGACTCCTCAGCGTCGTGGTGACCCTGTGCTCTCAGTCCCCAAACTCCTGAGAGAGTACCACAGCTGAAATGCCCACCTGCCCTTCCTGTCTGGATTAAGAACACTTATCTTCCTTCCAGGCAGAAACCCTTGATCCTACCACCTGCCCCTTCCTTTCCTGCCTCACTATCATCTCCTTGTCTCGTAGCAGCAGCCATAGAATGGTATTCCCTGCCCCAAACAATCTTCAATTGACCCCCAGGTTAATCATATCACTTCATTCGTTTTTCTATCATACCACTTTCAACATGTCTTTCCGCAGCTCAACAGTCCATCTCTGATTATGGGGTAAAAATCCAGCCTAGGCATTTGGTGTTGGATCTGGACTGTCTGTTCCCCGCCTCCAAGTCTCGGCCACACAGAACCCCACCTAAAAGTCAAGGTGCAGCTCTAATCCTTCCTCCACCAGCGGCCGGTGGGCACCCACTTCTCTGCTGCCTCAACCTTCACTCTCATTAGTCACTCGGCCTGACCTGCCACGACAATAACTCGCCTGCCCAAGACCTGGAGCCTCCTCCGCAGGCCCCCAGCTCCTGGAGGGCAGTGCTCGGCTCGGACTCGGGCTCCGGTTCCGACCACAGCCCTGGGAAGCTGCGGAGAGGAACTGGTCCAAACTCCGGTTTTAAGATGAGGAAACTGAGACGCGGAGACGAGATGTGACCCCGAGCCTCGCACCCTTGGGTGGTCCATAAACTGGGCGAACCCATAGCAACAACTGAGAGGGCGGGTAGGGAACCGCGCGCAGGCCCAGCAGGGCCCCCGCCGGGCCGGGCCCAGACTCACTTTGCCGACAGCGTGTTGATGGAGCCGGTGACGAGCATGAGCCCGGCCAGGAACAGCTGGTACTTGGTCCAGGCCATGGTAGCAGACAAGGCAACCCACCGGAGTGAGCAGCTCCCACCCGGTCACCCGGGGGTCTCGGGTTTGAGCCCTTCCGGTCCGGCCGTCACGTGATCCGCGCAGGCCCCGCCCCGCTCCCGCTTTCCCCGCCCCCAGGAGCACGCAGAGCCTAAGGCGCTCGGCTGGGTAGGCTGCCGACTAGCTGGTTCCCGCCGGGTGACTCTGGCGAGCCGGCGCCCAGGCTCAGCCACCTCCCTGGTTTTCGATGTTGGGGATCTCAGCCTCACGCACGCTAGGCAAGCGTGAGCTACACCCCAGTCCCGTGGCCTCCCCATTTGTAACAGGAGGCCGGTGGTAGGATGCATTATCGTGGGTATTAGATCGTTTCGTAAACCATTGGGAGAGATTGGGCTGAAGGATGTCCAGAGACTAATCGCGAGATGGAAATGTCCAGCGTGGGAATTTCCTCTCTCTAGGGTACCCAGGGAACTCCAGGGAGGCCTCGAGGTGTCCCTGGGGATCCCAGCCGGCTCACACCTTCCAGCAAAGCAGCGTAGGAATCTAGTTCCAGCTGCCAGGGAGAACATTTTACAGCGAAAACTAAATTGAGAGAGACCGAGTGAATTGCTTAAAATGGTTTTTGTTGGTGGTGCGGTGTGTGTGTAGGTGGGTGGGGCGTTGGGCTCAGATTCTTTAGTCTCCCCAAATCCGTGCCTTCTGTACAATCGCTGCACCAAGCCTGGTTACTGCTCTTTCATGAACCATCTAGACAATGCTCAGAGACATCCAGGTAGAAAGACCTTCCTAGGTTTGTTTGCAGAGAAATTCCAGCCTTTAAAACCCGACTCTTGTCTTCAGCCACCTGCTGTCCACTTTCCTCTTTCTCAAAGCTGTAGTCTACATCACATGCCTGATGTACTGGAGGCAGACCCCCTTGGAGGACTGTTTTGACCCAGCACACTCATTTTCCCCATTTCTGCAAACCTTGTTACTGGCCTTACAGAGGTAGGACCTCTTTCCTTCCTACCCTAAGACTTCCTCGAACTTGTGCACCTGGTCAATATAGACTCAAAAACTGTCAAGCATCTGTACCAGACCTCTAGTACAGGAAGCCCCGACGGAGTGAGTGTTATAAGTGGGGTTTTGGACCAAATGTAGGAGGTGACCGGATAGAGGGAATTGTGCGTTTGATGGCTCAAAGGCATGAGTGAGTTTGGAAGTGTGTCTGGGACCTGCAGACAATTCTAGAACTTTTCTTCACTGAATTCTGCTCTCTCAGGAAGATAGGAGACCTGGAGGAGGTTTCTTCTGAGTTTCTTGTCCCCAAGAAACTTTGTGTGATTTCCAAGGCATTCATTTGTTTATCCAAAAATATTTGCTGAGAAACTGGGATAGTAGGATGAATGAAAAACAACTTGTGTCCCAAGGGACAGACTGGGGCAGCCCCACACCAGCTGGCTCACACAGTGGGGCTGTGAACCTTTTCCCCCACATATATCCAGATCAAGGGCACTGTTCTGAAGTAAACAATATCTAATGATATTTGTTTCATCAGCCCGACATGATTTCATTAGAAGCAATCTGTCTCTATAGTCACATCATAAAATTAATTTTAATTTATCACAGTGTCTTTAATGATCCACCAAACAGCTGTCTCTGGATTCTGGGACATAGGAGGATTTATTGGTAAATACTTATTGTGCCCACTAAGTATAAAGCCCAGAGCCAGGTATAGGGTCCTGAAGAATAGCCAGCAGATTGCTGCTCTCTGGGACTTAGGGATTTAGCGGAGGACTGGGTGAGCTCCCATTAATCACACAGCCCTGTGACAAAGTATAAGGGACAGAGGAGTTGGGGGAGGGAAACAAGGGGTAACAGTGGCAATCAAAACTATCTCCTATCAGGTGTTTCCTAGTCTGTGTCAGCCCTGTGCCAAGACCTTGACCCCTGTGGCTTCAGTATTCCGGGCAGCTGTTACCAAACTATACCTGTTTTGCCAATCACTGAAACAGTGATTTTGCAGGGGAGAATGAATTTATTCACAAGGCAGCCAAACTGAAGTTAGGAGACCCAAGCATCAAACCCACCTCCTGGACGTTAGGGTTTGGGGGTACTTTGAGGAAAGAGTAGCAGATGATCTGAGGCATGGGGAAAGATGATTGGAGGTGGGGTCATCAGTGGTCCTCACATACTTAATTAAACTTCATTGCTCCTCATGGGACACATGTTCAGAAAATGGTGGCATTAACGTGACCTGAGGGTGGAAGTTTTGGCCTCCTGACCTCAAAAGTGCTTCCTGTGCTTTGTGTTGAGCTTAATTCCGTCTTCTGGCCTTGTCTCCCAAAGTGGGGACATTTTGAACAAATTTGCATGCCACCTTCAAAGAGCCTATAATTTTCAGAATCAAATAAAATGCTCACTGCAAGCCCTGCTTTTGTATTCAAAGCTTACTCCCTGCCAGCTCTTGACATGTCTGAAAGATAGAACATTTTCCTAATCAATTTAATCACATTAGGAGAGAATTACTTTACCCTGGGAAGGACAGAGATACTTGTGCAGTCAGACCAGGTGAGACACAATTTTGTGTTTTTTTAAACATGTTTTTGCTGAATATTCTTGGGCTCCTGTGTAGCCTGTCCCCTGGCTAGGATGTGACCCTCTCTTGGGCGGGACCTGAGTGTCCCTTGATCCTCTCCCCGAAGGCTGGCATTGAAGGGTGGCACTTTGAGAATGTGCTGGAAAGGGCAGCAAGGGGCTTAGGAGGAAGAGAGCTAGCTGCGTTAGGTCCTGGGAAAGAATCTGAGATGTGAATCAAGCCTGACAAAGGTAGACTATGTGGACTATCTGCACTGGCAGAAAGGCAGGGGGGTAGTGGAGAAGGGCTCACCAGCTCCTGGCTGACTTTACAGCTGGTTTCTATGGTGACCAGAGATGATTAGATTAGAAATCACCAGCTCCTTCCAGCTTCAGGCCCTCATAAGGTCATTTCCAAAGCTCCTCTTTTTTCTTTCTTATCATTTTTGTTCCTAGACCCTCCTCCCCTCTCTTCCCAATCAGCTCAGATCACTAGCTTTGGGGCAGATCAGTGGATTCTGGAAACTGGTGTTTGGCTCCAGCAGGATCAAGGCAGATCCAGATAAAACATTGTCTCCCAGTTAAATTTGATTTCGGATAAACAATGCATCATTTTATAGCAGAGTCATCTGTTGCTTAATGACAGGGACACATTCTGAAAAGCTGGTGATCCGGTCCAGGTGTGAACATCATAGACTGCTTACACAAACTAAGGTGGCTGCCCTGCCACTGGGTGATATAATTTTGTGGGACACTGAAAGGTCGTTATGTGGCATTTGACTATATAGCTATGTACCCAATATTGCTTGGAGCACACTTATCGTAAAATGTGATTCATTATTGATCTGAAATTCAAATTTCACTGGGCACGCTGTATTTCATTTCCCAGCCTGGCAAACCCTGCTGGGTTATGTGCATTGAATTACCATAGCATATCCCATAAAGATGTACAAATACTAAGTCTCAGAAAAGAGGGTTTAGAAGTATTTGGGAGGAACTGAGCATGATCTGGACAGTAAGTTATTGCTTATTTTATTAATCTATTTAGTTTCCTATTATTTTCATAACAAATTACCACAATATAATGACTTAGAACAGTACAAATTTATTTCCATACAGCCCTGGAACACTGAAATCTGAAATACAGACACTCGACTAGAGTCAAGGTCTAGGCAGAACTGTGCTCCTTGGAGAGGCTCCAGGGGAGAATCTGTTTCCTTGCCTTTTCAAGGTGATTTTTCTTTTTCTTTTTGCAGTTCCACGGATTGAACCCAGGGGCATTCTATCATTGACCTACTCCCCAGTGCATAAAGTTTTTTTTATTTTGAGATAAAATATTTTAAATTTTGGTCTTGCTAAATTGTCAAGGCTGACTTGGAACTTGCAATCCTCCTGCCTCGGCCTTCCAAGCGTGGAGGATTATAGGTGTACACTACCACACCGGGCACCTTTTCCAGCTTCTGGAGGCTGCCTGCCTTCCTCAGTTCCTCGCCCCACTTCACTCCGACCTTTGTTTCTATAGTTACATCTCCTTCTCTGACTCTGACTCCCTGGGTGCTATAGAACTTGCATTGCATTGGTCCTACATGGATAGCCCAGGATACTCTCCCCATCTTAAGATCTTTAGCCACATCTATAAAGTCCCTATTATTATATTATGTAATTAATTCACAGGTTTTGGGGACATTGTTGAGAGCACAAAATTCTCTCCATCAGAGTTATGATAGAGACATCATGATCACATTTTAAAAAGGTCCTTAGCTGTTAGACAATAAAGTAATTGTAGGTAAAATGATTTACTTTAAAATACTCTAGGGTAGGGGGTGTAGCTCAGGGCTGGAGCATGCGCTTAGCATGTGAGAGGTGCTGGGCTCAGTCTCTAGACTAGAGCTGAGCATGGTGGCGCACACCTGTAATTCCAGCAGCTCTGGAGGCTGAGGCTGGAGGATCATGAGTTCAAGGCCAGCCTCAGCAAAAGTGAGGCACTAAGCAACTCAGTAAGACCCTGTCTCTAAATAAAATACAAAATAGGGCTGGGGATGTGGCTCAGTGGCCAAGTGCCTCTGAGTTCAATCCAGGGTACTAAAAACAAAAAACAAAGAAAACAAACAAACAGACAAACAACAACAACAACAAAAGTCATCCCTAGAAAAAAATACAAGAATGGAAGAAAATTGATGATTGTTGAAACTGAATTATGGGTATACTCATTGTACTATTTTCTCTCATTTTTTTACATATTTGAAAATTTCCAAACAAAAAAGTTAAACGTGCAATATGGTACTGGTACATGGATAAATAACTTGAAACAAAAATTTAAAAATCTATAAATACAACCAAATGCTAATAGAAATTTAATAAGTACAAATAAGGCATTTTGAAATAGTGGTGATTATTTAAATAATAAACTCTGAAACCATTATACTAAGTGAAAGAAGCCAAACATAAAGAACCACATTGTATGATTCATTTGTGTGAAGTGTCCAGTATGAGCAATACTATGGAGATGGAAAGTAGATTCGTGGTTTTTTTAGCCCTGGGAGGC